ATTCTCACCGTTGCTTCTCAATTTATATATTCAAATATCCTATATGTTCATAAAAATCTTGACTTATTTCCAAAAAACAGCAATATTCATAATATTAAAGACAATCTTGCTATCCCCACGTATCGTTTAGAAATAGTCAATAGGTCTTTTATGGGAATAGGTATAAAAATTTACAATAAGATACCAAAGGATATATTGGAATTACCCTTAAATAAATTCAAAACATCTGTTAAATCATATTTACTGAGCAAGGCCTATTACTCACTAAACGATTACTTGAATGACGACCGTGCATGGCAATAGTTTTCATGTTCGGGATTTTCATTTAATGTTAGACATAGACACCTATATAAATACCTATACATTCTAAATAAACTGGCTTTAAAAAAAAAGTAATTCAATTGAGTTTCTTGCCATATCTTCTCAATTGGATCTATATACCGAACTGGACGGTAGGGCAAAAAATTATAATGTAAAAACTTGACTTTATAAACGGCTAAAATATCCTACACGAATTAATGATTTTTGAATTTTAATTTGAATTTGAATTTGTACGGTTAATTATCTGATAACTTTAAACATACGCAAATTCCTTTGTACAGTCTTCTTTTTGTTAAATATATAAACCTATATAATATACATATAAGTGGCAATTGCAGACAGCGCGCCAATCGGCACGGCAACATTTTTTATCACTTCATCCCACTGAAATATTCAGAAACCGCTATAAAACCGGCCCATTGTAACGGCTGTTAGAAACTCTAGAGGTATACTGAGAAATCAAATCTTAATCTTGGGTTCAGTTTGATTTTAGTTACAAACAAATCTACATCTACATATATATATATGTAGATTTGTTTGTACGGAACTTTCGCTTACAGATAGCTAACATTATAAGGAGTAATTTAAACTACTTCTATTTTATATATTTAAAAAAGTATTTAAATTCCATGCAGACGAAGTCGGTGGTAACAACTAGTTTATATAACTACTATAGATAACTATCTTTTGCCCGCTGCTTCGCTCGCGATAATTTATCCCCTTAGGGGTGGAATTTATCAAAATCCTTTCTTAGGGGATGCCTACGTCATAGTAGCTTTATGCATGCAAAGTCTCAGTCCGATCGGTTGAAATTTGACAAAGTTTCATACAAACTTTCATCCCCCATTTTGTTCCCTTGGGGGTATAATTAATCAAAATCCTTTCTTAGCGGATGCCTACGTCATAACATCTACCTGTATGCCAAATTTCAGCCCGATTCGTCCAGTGGTTTGGGCTGTGCGTTGATAGATCACTATGTCAGTCAGTCACCTTTGAGTTATATATATATTCGACGACCTCGGTGGTCTAGCGGTCTAGCACACCGCTTTACGACCGATGGTCGCGGGTTCGATTCCTCGCACGGCACAAACATTTGTATTCATGAGTATGATTGTTTCTATCAGTCTGGGTGTTTTTCTATGTATAATATGTATGTATTTACAAAAAAAAATATCTATGTATATGTATCAGTTATCTAGTACCCATAACACAAGCTTTAGCCAGCTTAACTTGGGTCTAGATGGCGCTGTGTGAATTATCCTGAGATTATATTATTATTATTATTATAAAAATTATATCAGGAACATCTCAGCAGAAAATACTTTTAAAATGCCAATCCATTATTGTGAATCGTGAATTTTGTATTGGTATATAATATTGAAAGATTTTATCCTCCCGCATTTTTCAGTTTTTTCATCTAATATTCAAGAATTCTGAATATTATATTAGCATTTTTAAATGTTTCAAAGATATTTAGCGCAAATATATATATACATATATATTTGACGACCTCGGTGGTCTAGCGGTTTAGCACACTGCTTTACTTCCGATAGTCGCGAGTTAGATTCCTCGCACGGCACAAGCATTTGCATTCATGAGTATGATTGTTTGTCTGGGTGTTTTCTATATATAATATGTATGTATTTACAAAAAAAAAATGTATATATCAGTTATCTAGTACCTATAACACAAGCTTTAGCTAGCTTAACTTGGGACTAGATGGCGCTGTGTGAATTGTCCTGAGATTACTATTATTATTATTTGTTCATTATAGGAGTAGAATTTGGTTATACTGTTTTTTTTTATATTTATGAATATGATTTACAAAAGAAGCAGAGGTTTCTTTAAAAAGTCGTCTGCATAGGTACCACAGTCTCCTTATTCCAGCCAAGCAGCTTGCTTTGTAAGTTGTTTCAGTTGTAGAGTAAGATTCCATGAAATTACAGAAGAAGACGTATATCATCTTAATTCTGTGGAATGGCAACGCATGAGTAGTATCAGCATACCAGTATATATTTAATTGTAATTTCGAATATTTCTAACTAGTTAGATTTTTTTTATATATAATAATAATAATAATAACCTCAGGACAATTCACACAGCGCCATCTAGACCCAAGTTAAGCTAGCTAAAGCTTGTGTTATAGGTACTGGACAACTGATACAAATACATAGATTTTTTTTTCTTAAATACATACATATTATACATAGAAAACACCCAGGCCGATACAAACTATCATACTCATGAATACAAATGTTTGCACCGTGGAAGGAATTGAACCCGCGACCATCGGAAGCAAAGTGTTGTGCTTAACCGCTAGACCACCGAGGCCGTCGATAATGATAATGAATTTTTATTTACATAACTTAATTGTACAACTAAGAACCTAAAATTAAAAAGCTTAAAAATATAATAAATAACTAAAATATATTATTAAAAGGGATCCCTTTAGGCAAAGTTCCGAAGTTAGAATTTAGAAATATTATATAAAAATTTCGAGTCACTGTGCGTGTAACAAAACTCATCCAAAACTGCTGGACTGTCTAATTAAATTTTGTATATATATACAGTAGGTCTGAGAATAGGCTGTAAACTATTTTTTATACCCATATTACGTGATAAGGGTAGTAAAACACAATATTTTGTTGAAGAAATTTTTTTAATTATATTTTTTAATGAGGATATCCGCAGAAGAACCAGAGTGACCGACATAGCCCGAAGAATTGTAAAACTGAAGTGGCAATGGGCAGGGCATATAGCTCATAGGACGGCCGTTGGGGCAGTAAAGTCCTCGAGTGGCGACTGCAGACCGGAAGACGTACCGTGGGAAGGCCTCCAGCGAGGTGGACCGACGACGGTCTGGTCAAGATCGCTGGAAGGCATTGGATGCGAGCAGCGCAGGACCGATCGTCGTGGAGATCTTTGGGGGAGGCCTTTGTTCAGCAGGACGTCTTCCGGGAGATGATGATGATGTTTTTTTTTATAATTCGCTTTAAGAATTATATTCAACCTTAAATTTCACCCTTCTACCATTAACTTCTATTTATAAAGGCGATGTTTAATCGTCTTTTGTAAAGTTAGTTTACATAGTTGTCATTAGATGGCGCTGTTCAATTTCTACAACGCGATATTGTTTCGTTTTGTAGTTACGGACGCGTTGTAAGATTGATTATTGGTTAGAGGCTTTTGATTTGTTTACATTAATGTACATATTGTTTTTTATTATTGTGATAATTGTGGTAATTACAGTGTTTTAATTCTCCTGACTTTCATTAAAGTAATGGAAGTGTATTTGTGAAGCAACGGCGAGTGTACAGCGATGTTAATTTATATGCCAAAACATCAGTTGCCAGATCAGCTAGTCTTTATAACCAACCCCTATTTTTAATAGCAACATTAGTACTTATCTTATATGGCAAAACATTTGCCGTGTTACTATATATATTTGGACTTGGTGTGTATCGTATCTAATAAGGCTCTAGGAAACGTGAGGGGTTGCTGCAATAAAACCTGTTTACGAGTCCACCCCGTAACGTCTAATGCAACAGCAATATCTCATCAGGTTGTATGAATCTGTTTGTATCTTCAAGTCACATAAACTGTGGTGGACAGAGATAAATGGGAATAGGATGATTCAAAAGTACAAACAAACATTTTAAACTATTATATACATATTTTATTTTATTTATGTACTGGCTGTTCCGCGACTTCCTCCGTGTGGAATTTAACTTTAATTTTCTAAAATAAAATTAGTATAAATTACGCCTTAATACATTAGCTACCTGCCAAAAAAAGTCCCGTCAAAATCGGTCCAACCATTTTGAGAGATTAGCCGGAACAAACAGACAGACAGATAAAAATTGTAAAAAATGATATTTTGGTCTGTGTACCGTATTTATGTTCATTTCTAAAATAAAAGTAGCTGCTCTCCTACTCCTTATTACATCAGCTGCCTGCCAAAAAAGTCCCGTCCGAATCGGTCCAGCCATTTCAAAGATTAGCCGGAACAAATAGACAGACAGACATAAAATTGTAAAAAATGTTATTTTGGTGTATTGTATTTATATTCATACGCATGTAGTAAAAAACGGTTATTTCAGTATTACAAACAGACACTCCAATTTTACTTAATTCGAAGAATTTCTTCAGTGTCATACTGACAATGTAATACTAACATATTTAATTTATATTCAAATTCAATTTAAAATTCAAAAATCATTTATTCATGTAGGACATTTTAGCCGCTTATGATCGTCAAATTTTTTACATTATATTTTTCATTTTTTCTGTAGTTCAGTATATATGTAGATCCAATTGAAAAGAATTGGCAAGAAACTCAATTGAATTACTTTTTTTTAAAGCCAGTTTATTTACAATGTATATATATATATATATATATATATATATATATATATATATATATATATATATAGTTATTTTATTGTTAATATTATTATTATATACATTTTCTTTGCATTAAATTCCTTCCAAGTAAAGATAAATTGAACAAAAGTGGCCGACACAATATTGACTCAGTCCTCCAGTGTTCTCTAATTAAGGTGCTGTTAGATGGGTTCGTAGGAAAGGGTCTTGTAATTTAATTTTTAAATCATGAAAGTTGGACTCGCATTTAGGGTTCCGTAACTACTTCTTCCTCTTCCTCTTAGCTCTGTCCCACTTTATGCGGGATCGGTTTTCCTAATTTTTCGGCGCCAGGACAATCTGGCCTGGGTTGTCGGGTCGGGCAATTTTTCCGCGGCGACAAGCTTGTTCATACTGGTCCACCAGGTGGCTGGAGGACGTCCTCTACCTCTTTTGCATTCGGGTAGTTTTAAGCCTTTTTTGACCACGTAATCCTCGTCACTACGCATTACATGGCCATACCATCTGAGACGGCTTTCGGTAAGTTTCTCCGTTATTGGGGCCACTTTGAAACTACCGCGGATGTATTCATTTCGCACCCTATCTAGTCTCGTGACTCCACTAGACCACCGCAGCATTTTCATCTCGGTGGTATGAAGCTTTTGTACAAGTGTCCCCTTTATTGGCCAACATTCTGCTCCGTACAACATAGCCGGCCTCACCGCTGTCCTATAGATTTTACCCTTAGTTCGCACAGGCATGCGAGGGTCGCATAGGACTCCGGTTAGTGATCTCCACTTCTGCCAAGACACATTAACTCTGTGAGTCACATCTGGCTTCCGTAACTACAATATGTTTAATTTATATAAAGAAAATCTGTTCTCTAATTTGTGGCCTAAATTGTATTTTTGATACTGCAACACTGAAACGTCGGTATTTCAGCGGGCCATAGACAATATGTTAACCGTTATACTTTAATATTCGAAATACATCAACGATCATATACGCATTATCATTGCAACCCAGTATCAAGTAAATTAAAATACTAGCCACGAATCTCCGAGTTTCATTACAACATCAAGACCTCTTCTCAATAAAAGGCGTAAACAAAATGATATTCTACCTCGTAAGTATATGGTATAGAATGCTAAACATTTTTAATAGTGCAATCATTACATACTATAAAACAAAGTCGTTGTCTGTCCCCCCTCCGATCGATCCCCCGTCCAATTCAGACGGGGATCGAAATTACGACGGCCTGAGCCGAGGTTCGAACCCCTAGTGGTGCCCTCAGACTAAAGTCGTATCCGTCAGGCAGGAGTTGGCCTTCAGCCGCTCCATAAGTCCTTCCGCGGTTTTGGAGTGCCATCTGCACTCGCCCCATAACGTCCGGTGAAGCTGTAAAGGCCAGCTACGGCCAACAGCATTAGAGTAGTCCGAAAAAAAATAAGCTGTTTGTCCGTCCCTATGTATGCTTAAATCTTTAAAACTACGCAACGGATTTTGAAGCGGTTTTTTTTAATACATAGAGTAATTCAAGAGGAAGGTTTATATGTATAATACATGTGCATCCGTGCGAAGCCGGGCTGGGGTAGCTAGTAAGAAATAAATAAATAAATTAGACGCCCTCGGTGATCTAGCGGTTTAGCACACCGTCTTCAGATTCAGATTTTGATTGAGCAGATGATAGTGCTGTTTCAAACGGATAGAAAAATATAACATTTCCATTATTTTGAACCCTAAAACCTCCCTATTAAAATAAGAAAGCCTCCCCTAAGAATACATAATACGTAGTTACTTGAAGTAAAGGAATATTTGAAAAAGTTCTAAAATGCATACCTTTCTTTCAGGATTCCTTAAATATTAATAAATTTAACCTTCCAACATCTTGATCCGACAGGACTCGAACCCTTATCCGCGCTGAGTGCTTTCACACTGCGGCTGTTCTTCTATCAAATGATAAATTCAACATCTTTTTAGAAAGCTATTAAGATTGAGATTTTTAATATAACTAGGATAGTAAGTATTCGCGACAGCTCCTCAGAAAAAACAGTGGATTGTATAATGGTCTCTTGAAACCCCTTTCTCTTACTTCCAAGGACCTCGGTGGTCTAGCGGTCTAGCACTTTACGTCCGATGGTCGCGGGTTCGATTCCACTCAGGGCACAAACATTTTTATTCCTGAGTATGATTGTTTGTATCAATCTAGGTGTTTTCTATATATATTATGTATGTATTTACGAAAAAAAAATCTATGTATTTGTATCAGTTATCTAGTACCCATAACATAAGCTTTAGTTAGCTTAACTTGGATCTAGATGGCGCTGTGTGAATTGTCCTGAGATTTATTATTATTATTATTTTTATATGTAATACGTATATAATACAGTCACATAGTATCAAAAAATATATATCCACGTATTTGTATCAGTTGTCTAGTATCCATAACAAAAAAAAATTAAAGTGTCTGTACGTAATTTCCACATTTCACTAAATTCGTTCTCCATGTATATTATGTATTAAAAAAAATAATGTAGATATTTGTATCAGTTGTCTAGTATCCATAATACAAGCGCTACTTAACTTAGGCCTAGATGGCGCTGTGTGAATTGTCCAAAATATTAAATATCAAATATCATTAAACTACAAATTCAAATTCAAAATATCTTTATTCATGTAGGTCTATTACAGACTTATGATATGTCAAATCTACCGTCAGTTCGGAATGATTTCGAGATGAGAGGAACTGACAAGAAACTCAGCTCGTATTTTTTTTAAATGTTGTACATATTTACAATAATACAGATTCATTTAAATTCAAATTTGGAAGAATAGAGTGACCACCAGTATATGCTGTATATATACACAATGTGCCAAAAGAACAGTGTTGTAATAGTGGAAAATAAGTTAAAACAGTTTTCAAGTGAAATGAAATATTTAGCAGGTCAGTCTTGAAATATAAATATAGAACTGTAATAACGGTTGTAACGTTACAAAGGAACGTGCCGTTATAGTATCCATGTTCGTAGAAGACGTTCCATCGTTTGCAGAAACTCCCAATGGGCAGTTTGGCGAGCTTCCAACGCTAAAACTCGTGGTCCATGCACCGGTACACTGACTGCTCGTTTCATATCAACTTTTAGGTTCAATTGTTCGGTTGCATTATTAACTGGTACGTTTCCAGCCGATTTCGCAGACTGAACAATTCAGTGTGTTTCTGCTCTGCTCCGATTTGGATGATTATTTAAACAACAGGTCATATTTAGATCTCTTAATTTTGTAATACTAATTTTAGTATATTAAAAAAATGTGCTCTCTTTATAAAAAAATTGGGGAAGCAAGTTGTTAGAAATAGAAATAGAAATAATCTTTTTTCAACTGAACTCATGCAAGCATAGTTTGATTCTACTTGAATTTTGAATAGTCATATTTTGATTCTACCACTCATTCGGAACGCAGATTCATTACAAGAAGAATGAGCAAGAAACTTGTGTGTTGCTCTTTTTAATAGATGTTTTTTATATATATATACATATAATTACAGTATAACAAGTAAGAGGCATACGATAATCAACATAGAAATCGCTAAGCACTCATTATTAGTGTAATCAGATAATATTGTCAGTGCTATGGATTTCAAGTTTTTCTGTATAAACATTATTGTTGTTAACGAATTCTTCATTCTTGTTGTTGTGCGAACCCAAAAGAAATTATTTTTAGTATTTGAGGGGCTAAAAATTTTTAAATGGAATAATTGATAGAATCAAGATTGGTCAAGATCGCTGGAAGGCCTTGGATGCGAGCAGCGCAGGACTGATCGTCGTGGAGATCTTTGGGGGAGGCCTATGTCCAGCAGTGGACGTCTTCCGGGCTGCGATGATGATGATGATGATGAATTGATAGAATTAGATACATTTTAATAATAGAATTTGTATTTCTTGGGAATATACGTAACATAACAGGAGAATAATAATTGCAAAGGTTTAGTAAATACAATAAATTCTGAATCAGAAAGACAAACTTCCTTTATTGGTTTATAATAAAGTCACTCTCGCTGTCTGTACCCTTAGATCTCTTAAACTACGCAACGGATTTTAATGCAATTTATACTATAGATAGAGTGATTCAAGAGAGAGATTTAGAATTTAGAATTTAGAAGTAAGGAGCCAACGGAATATCAGCGCCGCAGAGTTATCTGTAGCATTATGCTGAGTTGGCTGCCTTTTCACTTTTGCGGCACATAAAGTCACCTACATTTCTTTTATTAATTCGTGTTTTTTCTGTATCTTATATATGTTACGTGTTTGTAAATGTGAATAAAGAATTTATCTATCTATCTATATGTATAATACATATAGATAGATGGTCCTCGGTGACGACCTCGGTGGTCTAGCGGTCTAGCACACCGCTTTACGACCGATGGTCGCGGGTTCGATTCCACGCACGGCACAAACATTTGTATTCATGAGTATGATTGTTTGTGTCGATCTGTGTGTTCTATGTATAATATGTATGTATTTACAAAAATATCTATGTATATGTATCTGTTATCTAGTACCCATAACATAAGCTTTAGCTAGCTTAACTTGGGTCTAGATGGCGCTGTGTGAATTGTCCTGAGATTATTATTATTATTATTATTAACTTGGGACTAGATGGCGCTGTGTGAATTGTCCTGAGATTATTATTATTATTATTAACTTGGGTCTAGATGGCGCTGTGTGAATTGTCCTGAGATTATTATTATTATTATTAACTTGGGTCTAGATGGCGCTGTGTGAATTGTCCTGAGATTATTATTATTATTATTAACTTGGGTCTAGATGGCGCTGTGTGAATTGTCCTGAGATTATTATTATTATTATTAACTTGGGTCTAGATGGCGCTGTGTGAATTGTCCTGAGATTATTATTATTATTATTAACTTGGGTCTAGATGGCGCTGTGTGAATTGTCCTGAGATTATTATTATTATTATTAACTTGGGTCTAGATGGCGCTGTGTGAATTGTCCTGAGATTATTATTATTATTATTAACTTGGGTCTAGATGGCGCTGTGTGAATTGTCCTGAGATTATTATTATTATTATTAACTTGGGTCTAGATGGCGATGTGTGAATTGTCCTGAGATTATTATTATTATTATTAACTTGGGTCTAGATGGCGCTGTGTGAATTGTCCTGAGATTATTATTATTAGTGCGGGTCGCTAGTTATATAAATGCTCAATAAAAGTCATCACTTTTAATAAGTGGTGATCACGTCATCGCAAATAATTATATTCTCTATTTATATTATGCACTATGAATTTAACTTTATTTTTTCCTAAAATAAAATTAGCCTAAGTTACTTCTTATTCATCAGCTAGATGCCAAAAAAAGTCCCGTCAAAATCGGTCCAGCCATTTCAAAGATTAGCCGGAACAAACAGACAGATAGGGAGACAAAAATTGTAAAAAATATTATTTTGGTGTATGTACCGTATTTATATTCATATGCATGTAATAAAAAACGGTTATTTCAATATTACAAACAGGTACTCCAATTTTATTTGTATGTATAGATGTGTTTACAAAATAAATGTATAAGTATTTCTATAAGTTATCTAGTACCAATACTCAAACACAAGCACTCCTTAGGTTAGAGCTAGAACTTCTGTGAATTGTTCTGAGTTCTCACTACTTTCAGTGTGAGTGAGAGAGTGAAGAGAGAGAGAGAGTGAAGTTATATAGAATTTATTTGACAGAAATGCATCCGAATAATAAAAAAGAAACAACTACAGGAAACAGTTCAACTTTTCATAAAATACATTCTGTGTAGCTCTACACTGTAGGAGTTCTCACTACTTTCAGTGCGATAGCGTGAAGTTATATAGAATTTATTTGACAGAAATGCATCCGAATAATAAAAAAGATACAGGAAACAGTTCAACTTTTCATAAAATACATTCTGTGTAGCTCTACACTGTAGGAGTTCTCACTACTTTCAGTGCGATAGCGTGAAGTTATATAGAATTTATTTGACAGAAATGCATCCGAATAATAAAAAAGATACAACTACAGGAAACAGTTCAACTTTAGATAAAACATATTCTCTGTAGCTCGACACTGTAGGAGTTCTCACTACTTTCAGTGCGATAGCGTGAAGTTATATAGAATTTATTTGACAGAAATGCATCCGAATAATAAAAAAGAAACAACTACAGGAAACAGTTCAACTTTAGATAAAACATATTCTCTGTAGCTCGACACTGTAGGAGTTCTCACTACTTTCAGTGCGATAGCGTGAAGTTATATAGAATTTATTTGACAGAAATGCATCCGAATAATAAAAAAGAAACAACTACAGGAAACAGTTCAACTTTCCATAAAATATATTCTGTGTAGCTCTACACTGTAGGAGTTCTCACTACTTTCAGTGCGATAGCGTGAAGTTATATAGAATTTATTTGACAGAAATGCATCCGAATAATAAAAAAGAAACAACTACAGGAAACAGTTCAACTTTAGATAAAACATATTCTCTGTAGCTCTACACTGTAGTCTGCTGGAGTAGTCGATAGATGAACTATCTGCAAACTGGCTAAGTATGCAAATACAGTCCGGCGAATATTAAATCCCGACCGCTTTTGACGCGGCACCGGCGCTGTCGAAAACTCAATTGATCCCGTTGTGCCAATCATTTGAATGCGTTGTAATTCTCCATGGCTCCATTTGCTGATTGAAATGTATGTTTATGGAAATTCATGAATACAATTTCTTTATTCAATGAATATATTTCATTTATTTCATAAGGAGTCGTATTTGAAACATAATCAGGTAAATAATGTAGTTTATAGAAAGAAAACATTGTTTACTGGCTTTCGACAACAGTCCTATAATCTATACATATAAATAAAATTGGACTGTCTGTCTATAATATTGAAATAACCGTTTTTTACTGCATGCATATGAATATAAATACTGTATATACACCAAAATAACATTGTTTACAATTTTTGTCTGTCTGTCTGTTTGTTCCGGCTAATCTCTGAAATGGCTGAACCGATTTCGACGGGACTTTTTCTGGCAGGTAACTAATGTAATAAGGAGTAACTTAGGTTAATATTATAAAAAAGGTCAACAAAGATTAATAAACATAATGGAAGCCAGCCAGACGCTTTGCAAGCTGTTCTAAGAATTTATTCGGTAATACCGAGATATTGTAATAACAGTTTATAGAAGTAATAAATCCATACATATAAATATAATTGGAGCGTCTGTTTGTAATATTGAAATTACCGTTTTTTACTACATGCATATGAATATAAATGCGGTACATACACCAAAATAACATTTTTAAAATTTTTGTCTGTCTCTCTGTTTGTTCCGGCTAATCTCTGAAATGGCTGAACCGATTTTGACGGAACTTTTTTTGGCATGTAGCTTATGTAATAAGGAGTAACTTAGGCTACTTTTATTTAAAAAAAATAAAATTGTAATAAGGAGTAACTTAGACTATATTTATTCTAGAAAAATAAAGTTAAATTGCACGTGGACGAAGTCGCGGGTACAGCTAGTAATTAATATAATATATGATTTTATTTAATAAATTTATACACTCTTCAGAATTTGCACCAGTTTTGTCATATAAAAAAACAATGTCTTTGTATCAGAAGTCATGCTTATTAATAAATGATTTCCAATAAAAGCACATATGAAAAATTGAAATTAGTAATGTAATAACATAAATTTCGAGATTCTCCCTCCTTCCTCTTAAATCACTCTATCTATTTAAAAAAAAACCGCTTCAAAATCCGTTGCGTAGTTTTAAAGATTTAAGCATATATAGGGACGGACAGACAGCGACAGCTACTTTGTTTTACACTATATAATGATATATATAACCGATATAGATCTAAAATACAAACCTAAAACAACAATACATTATAAAGAAACAATAGAATATATACAAAACACAGAGTTCATTGTCTTCAAACACAACAAACGTATTGGAAATTTGCGAATAAACAAAATTACAATTAAACTGTACCCAAGGATATCTTTTTGTCAGTACACGTTTTGAGTATAACGTAATTGTCTGTTTTAGTAGGAGCTGGAAATATTAGGGATTCCTCAATAATAGAGCGTCGACTGAAGTGTTCTCCTGTATCGATTTAATGGAGTTAGGGAAGGTATTGGTGCGGACAATTTGATTTAAACCTTTTTATCGACTAAATACAAGACCTTCATGTCTCGTTTAACTGACTATAAATAAAGACAGTTCTTTTTTATGTGAGTGATTTGTATTACAGGTTATATTTTGGACCCCAGCTTCTCACAACTGCTGTGCCCGCCACTTCATCTGCGTAAAATAGCGGCCATTCTACATAAATAATGAAGATACTTTCATACAACATTTCATCTCCGCTTTCAACCCTTTTGTTTTTAAAAGTACCCTATGTCCTTTCTCGGGGTCTAGACTATTTGACTACACGTATTTATTGCCATCCATGTTTGTGAGAAGAAAAAAAAAATATTATTATAATTCCACACAATGGCAATCGAGCCTACCTGATAGTACCATTACCATCGCAAATATATAGCATCATGATATCACGTTATCATTCTATATTGCACTTACATAATAAAATAAAAGATTGTTCTAAAAAAAAGTGAGTACGGGTGGGCTTATCTATAAAAACTCAGTCAGTCGAGGTCGTCCGCTGGTCCTTACGGACCGCCGGGTGCGGGCCTCGAGCATATGCTCTTTGCCCGGGCGTACTGCTGGGGTGTGCCACCCCAGCGTCGTTCGTTTACCGGCCGGCCTGCCGGCCGGCCGGTAAAGCCTCAGCCGGCTGCTTCCCAGCAGCCGGCTGAGGGAGTCGTGGGAGGACTGTTTAAGTCGCTCGCCGAGCCGGCTTAACGCCGCCACGTCACGTAAATGACGTGATCACTCGGTGGAGAGTAAGTCGCGCGGGAGCGCGCGAGTGGCGTCCGGTGGGCGCGCGTGGAGAGGGGCGAGGTCGCGCAGGTGCGCTTCGCGCCCGCTGTCCGCGCGCGAGAACATCGCGCGCGTCAACCGGACGACGAACTGCTCCACCGATGGGACCTTGAGGTCGCGGGCGATCACGTCATTACGGACGTACCGTCCGGCATTTGTGCACAGACGGAGGGCGGCGTTCTGTTGGACCTGCAGTCTCCGCCGCTGTGAGGCCGAGCACAGTGCGTACCATGCGGGGGCGGCATATGTGAGCCGCGAACGAATGTAGGTCTTATAAATGCCTACCTTCGTCCGCAGCTGCAGCCTGGATTGCAAGACCGGTCGCAGCATAGCGCGCGCGGCCTTGGCTTGGGTAACGGCCCGGTCCACCTGCGGCGTCATACGCAGCGACCGGTCGATTTCCACCCCTAGGTAACGCACTGTGCGTTCCCACTGGATGGGCTGGCCTCTCAATACGAGGGGCGGCGGATATTTGCCCCCGGGGCGGGTAAGCAGCGCCACCGTTTTACCCACGTTAACGGTGGTACGCCACTTATCCAGCCACTCGGGGAGCAGGTCCAACAGCCGCTGCATTTTGCGAGCGGCTGCGTAGGCTCGGCGAGACGACGTGAGGAAGGCACTGTCGTCGGCAAATAGAGCGAGGACGACATCCCTCTCTCCCTCTCGGAGCTCATCCCTCAAGGTGGGGATGTCGTCTGTGTACGTCGCGTAGAGCGCTGGCGAGATGCAGCTGCCCTGCGGGACTCCGGCGGCGATTGGGCGTGTGGTAGAGTCACAGTTCTCGACCGAAACGTAAAAGCTCCGGCCCGAGAGGAAAGCGTCCACTACTCGCACGTATGCTGACGGCGTGTTGGTGTCGAGCAATTTCGACACCAAACCGTCGTGCCACACACGGTCGAACGCCTTCTCTATATCGAGAAATACGCCGACCGTGTAGTGGCCGCGGTTGTGCTCGACAGCCATGTGGTGGAGCACTGCTCGACAGCCATGTGGTGGAGCACTAAAAAGCCAACCGCACGTGGTGTTCCCAGGCGGTCACCCATCCAAGTACTGACCACGCCCGATGTTGCTTAACTTCGGTGATCGGACGAGAACCGGTGTGTTCAACGTGGTATGGACGTTGGCTGGTATGGACGTTGGCTATAAAAACTATCGTATGAAGCTCGTGATAACACTCACGCGTTACTGTTACGAAGGTTTAAGATAGCAGTCCTCATATCCTGTGAGTTTATTGCCTATCTCACTCTGCAACTGAAATATATATATTATACTAGCTTTTGGCCGACTTCGCTCGCGTTAATTTATCCCCTTAGGGGTGGAATTTATCAAAATAATCCTTTCTTAGGGGATGCCTACGTCATAGTAGCTGTATGCCTGCAAAGTCTCAGCCCGATCGGTTTAAAATTGACAAAGTTTCATACAAACTTTCATCCCCTATAATATCCCCTTGGGGATAGAATTAATCAAAATCCTTTCTTAGCGGATGCCTACGTCATAACATCTACCTGCATGCCAAATTTCAGCCCGATCCGTCCAGTGGTTTGGGCTGTGCGTTGATACATCACTATGTCAGTCACCTTTGAGTTATATATATTTAGATTATGAAGTAGTGTAGCAAGTTGAACCAGTTATGCTCGCTATAAATTTCAAACTTGTGACGGCGTGGTGGGCCGGGTCGATGTGCTCCCTCTAATATGGTTGAGTGCAATGATGGCTGGCTCATCCGTCATACTCGTGATCGGGTGCTGCTTGTAGGGACTGGTCTGTTCAAGTTGCGAACACTGATTAGATTTCTTGTATTTTTGCAGTACCATATGCTGGTGGTCAGTCTATTCTCCCAAATTTGAATTTTAATGAATCTGTAATATTGTAAACATGTACAACATTTATTTGAAAAGAATACGAGCTGAGTATCTTGTCAGTTCTTCTCATCTCGAAATTATTCCGAACTGACGATAGATTTGAGATATCATAAGAGTCTGTAATAGACCGATATGAATAAAGATATTTTGAATTAATTTATTTTTACTCCTTACTTATAGTTATTTTTAATTTTTCGTGTTTAATATACATTATTTATATTATTAACCGGGTCTTAACACGAACTAATTTCATGGCAAATAAATGTATTTACCTCTCTCGACGTTTCGACTAGGTTGCACTAGCCGTGGTCACGAGCTGACTGGAGTAACAGCGATGTTAATGTAGATAGGTGACAGCAGTTTTTTCATCTACCGTCACTAGATTGTTCAACGACAGTTCGCGACACACAGCACTCACGGTATCCGTACACTTATCGACTGTTGATGCTACTGAACTTTGCTTGAATGTATTTATGATTAGATTCCACGCAGATGATAATTTTAAGCCATCCTCTCTGTTGAAATTGGCATGTTTTTTAATTTCAATCTAATCGATTCTTCAACTGAAGTCTACAAAGTAGCAAATGTACAGAAAAAGTGTGTCAAATGCATTTTTTTTTTTAATTATGTATAAAAATTTATTAAATCAATTAAAATAACGTAACACATACTACCATAGATTTGACACACACACACACACAAATACTCTTTTGTTTATAGGCCATATTGGGCATAGGTTACTATTGTTTGTCTATAATCTTACTGAATGTTAAAATAATTGTGGCCGAATTTTATATAAATACTAGCTTTTGCCCGCGGATTCGCTCGCGTTAATTTATCCCCTTAGGGGTGGAATTTATCAAAATCCTTTCTTAAGGGATGCCTACGTCATAGTAGATTAATGCATGCAAAGTCTCAGCCCGATCGGTTTAAAATTGACAAAGTTTCATACAAATTTTCATCCCCTATTTTATCTCCTTGGGGGTAGAATTAATCAAAATCCTTTCTTAGCAGATGCCTATGTCATAACATCTACCTGTATGCCAGATTTCAGACTGATCCGTCCAGTGGTTTGGGCTGTGCGTTGATAGGTCTCTATGTCAGTCACCTTTGAGTTATATATATATATAGACTAACTGACTCGCGCAACTTCGTCTGCGTTTCATTACCCAACCTTTTGCAATATTTTTCATTGCAATTCCGCTCCTATTGGTCGTAGCGTAATGTTATATAGCCTAAAGCTTTCTCGACAAAAGGACTATCCAACATAAAAATAATTTTTCAATTCAAATCAGTAGTTGCTGAGATTAGCGCGTCCAAACAAACAAGCAAACTCTTCAGCTTTATAACATTAGTGTATATGTACAAAACCCACAAAGTGACCAACACCCAGACAGAACCGGGACGGGACACAAGTGATCAATACAACATTAAGAAAGTATGAAACTGTTCCTGAATAATATAAAAACATCGCAATATTGCATCAGACGAGAAAAACTCGGCACCTTTCCAATGGGACCAAGAAAATTGAATCTCGAAATGGGTTTATTTTAATACAAGAACTTTTATAAAAGTACTAGCTGTTCCCGCGACTTCGTCCGCGTGGAGTTTAACTTTATTTTTCTAAAATAAAAGTAGCCTAAGTTACTCCTTATTACATCAGCTACCTACCAAAAAAGTCCCATCAAAATCGGTCCAGCCATTTCAGAGATTAGCCGGAACAAACAGACAGACAGACAAAAAATTGTAAAATGTTATTTTGGTGTATGTACCGTATTTATATTCATATGCATGTAGTAAAAAACGATTATTTCAATATTACAAACAGACACTCCAATTTTATTTATGTGTATAGATAAATTAACAGTACTGTACAATATAAAAACATACCTGAACTTATGATATTAAGGAACTCGCAATTTTTATAGTTACACAAATCAGCGAACTTAATCACTAAACCAAGAAACTATGTAGACATAATGAATAGAATAGAATAGAATAGAAAATCATTTATTCAAATAAACTTAATTTAAGCAATTTTGAACAGTCATAACAATGTTTTTTTTTAATCTACCGCTCATTCGGAAAGCTGCCTCGTCACAAGAAGAACGAGCAAGAAACTTGTGTGTTGCTCTTTTAAACAATCCTTGTAAGTTCACATTTTACAATTCGAAACGTGTGAATACAAACTACCAACCAGCACTAATTTAGGCTTAAATATAAATACACAATAAGATTAAATCAGTCGTAGTGGTAAGAGCAGACCAGTCCCTACAAGGAGCACTCGTTCACGAGTATGACGGATGAGCCAGCCATCACTGCGCTCGACCATATTTTAGGGAACCCAATGACCTGAATGCGTAGTGATAACAGCAGACCAGTCCCTACAAGCAGCACTCGTTCACGAGTATGACGGATGAGCCAGCCATCACCGCGCTCGATCATATTTTAGGGAACCTGAGGACCTGAATGAGTAGTGATAAGAGCAGACCAGTCCCTACAATCAGCACTCGTTCACGAGTATGACGGATGAGCCAGCCATCACCGCGCTCGATCATATTTTAGGGAACCTGAGGACCTGAATGAGTAGTGATAAGAGCAGACCAGTCCCTACAATCAGCACTCGTTCACGAGTATTACGGATGAGCCAGCCATCACCGCGCTTAAAATATTTTAGGTAGCCCAATGAATGAATAGATTCGAATCTATTATCTACAATATTCCAAATTAAATTTAAATAACTAAGCCATGGTGTTCTCGTATTATGTAAATAATATAAAAGGTGTTCAGAACTCGACAGGGAAGGATCAACATCTCAACAATCGACTTAGCAACTGCCCTACGAAGGTCGTGCCTCGTGTAATTGATGTGTAAATGAATTCAACAATTCCCTTGTGTAGGAGTTAGGGACTAGTAGATGGTTACTACAGCTATTGTGAACGGTACATATCGAGTACAAAATAATGAGTAAGGCCTGTAATGATGTGCGTGTGTTGTTACTTTGGATGTCTTGTAGTTACTCGTTACTTTGTGGCCATAGCTACTTGTTGTTACTCGTAGTTACTACAGTTATCTAGTTACTATCGTAGAGAAAAATTCACACAAGACGCTATACTTGAAAAGCGACTACAATCTCTTGCATGAATAAATCGTTTCCTAATTTATACATGTATGGTTATTGGACGTTCCTAGTTATTTTACGTACTGAATATTAGTTACTTAATTCGTTTGTGATACTATAGTGAATAACCCAAAATATATAACCTAAAAACAAGGTTATCATATATGTGTAATGGTTCCGAATCAACAGTTTTTTTAAATGAACGATGATGTAATTATACTTTCTCCTGTACTAATAATATACATACGTTGACGGGGCACCAGTGGAGGATGATAAAATGAGCATGTCGCCATGAGTTAGTTAGCGCTCTCATAAATTGTTGTAACTGGCTAATCAAGAAATGTTTTATATTCTAAATTTGTATATAAATTTATAGTTCCTTTTATAGAGTCTCGTTTGTTACTTCACTTTCATTCTATTCTGTTATATGTCAGTAGTCTATCCTAATATACATTTTTCTCGTATACCAAATCTATTTCTTTTTCTTACCTATACATGAATAAAATAAAACTACAACATAAATTCACCAGGTTATCCACGTTCCAGTGAACTACAATAATTTCTAAGGAGTCCACGTCGACGTCGATCTGATGTAATCGAATAATGCTTGTTTGTTTCAACTCTCAAACAGAAAGTGGTCGTATCTGTTAACAAAAAAAATGTAACTTAGTAACGTACTGGAACCGTAGTAACGAGTAATAACTGGTTTAGTTACTAGTACGTACGGGTACATCATTTGTCGTTACTTATCGTTACTTATACAGGTCTACTGTTCTCGCTAATTAATTGGGAGGCCATTTCGATAAACATCAATTTGTAGAACCTAACGATTGAGTGTGGTTCCTTTCAATGTATGACCCTATTTCTAATATATTACTTACCCCGTCTTTTCATTATTGCCAATAGTCATTCCTATACATTTTATTTTATACCTGTGTCTATATGATAATAATGACGGGTTTTTTTGTATTGTATACAGT